CTCCTTGCAGTGGGTTTGCGCCTTGACACAACTCTCCTTCTCTTAGTCGATGCCCATGCAAGTTTGTCGGCCACCAACATCTCAGCTGTTTGCCATTTGTCTGGTGTTTCGTGTATGTGAACCGTTTACGCTGTTGACATGGCCCAGCGGCATAACGCTGGGTTTAGTTGCCTAATACATCCCCCTTTCAATTGCTTGCGCCTAGTTATTTCTCGCTCCTGAGTTTAATCATAGCTTTTTGCCCATGGGTCATTCGACCTAAGGCCATCTCGGTTGTTTCCGTTTTTTGGTTAGCCTGCATGCTTGTTCTTGCGGGGCATGGGTGTTCCACGTTTGAAATCGTTCCCATTTTCCAAGCCAAATACATTTACGAATATATCCACTGCTGCAGTGCTCCCGGTTCTCCACTATCTGTGAATTTTTCCATGTTTCTAATCGTCTATGATGTACATGCCTGATCCACCGTTCCTTACCGAATAGAATAATCTCTTACTGATGACCGTTCCGCTAGACGAAGTTTCCGGTCCTTGGAACTTCCGTGCATATATCAAGTCGGCAATCTTGAACGTTTGCCCTTCTCTTTCCCGTTCGTTTCCATGTCTATCGTATTTTCTGTCGACTTTCTCGGAATTTTCGTGCAGAGACATTCCGCGTGAGATTTTCCCTTTGGGTTGTTCGATTTAGGAGTGTTCCGATACACCCACATAACTGCACGAACTGCATAATTTTCATCATTGTTTCGTCTTGAGCAGTCTGCACGAATTGTGTCAAAAGTTGCTAGCAGTTCTCTTACATTATCAACCAGGATTTGCTTAGCTTGTGATTCGAGTTTGACGGATGCAACCATACACTCCTCATCGTCCATCGACTGGGAATTGATGAGACGAGCTAGGGTATCAGCATGGCCGTTTTGTTGCGTAAATTGGGAACTGTATACCGCAATCATATGACAGACGCATGTTACCCCTTCTTTGTACCCAACTTGCATTGAAAACAAGAATTCGCTTCTTCGATCCCAATATAGGGAGAAGCTGCTCGTGATCAGTGAACATCATGACATGTCTGTCATAAAGCATCTTCTGAAACTGTTTCACTGCGAAAACAATGACAAGAGCCTCCTTCTCAATTTGGCTGTAGTTTTTTTCCACCTCCATCAGCGACCGTGCTGCATGCGCGATTACCTTCTCTTCTCCTCCTGGATAAACGGGAAATGACAGCACCTACTCCGTAAATTGAAACGTCCGAAGCGACGATAATCTCCAAATTTGGGTTGAAATGGGTCAAGAGTAAATCAGAACTAAGCGCTGCCTTGCCTGTTTCAAAGGTCTGTTGGCATTTCTTTGTTCATTGCCATTCTTTCCTTTTCACCAGTGACTCGTTCAGCGTACCTATTGCGCGATTAGGACTTGGCAAAAATGAACTGTAATGACCTACAAGTCCGAGAAATGAGCGAGATTGGACATCTTTTTGGCAGTGACATCTGTTTCACGACCTTATACTCGCGGGATCTAGACGCCGACCTTTTTTATCAATAACGAATCCCAAAAATTTGACGCTTTCCACGAGGAAATAGCACTTTACTACCCGTAGTCTGAAGCTAGCTTTTAAAACGTGCGAGCGCTTTCTCCCACGTGTCTAGCGACCTTTATGGATACCAACCCGTAATCCAGGCATACCGCAACTCCAGGAAGGCCGTTTAGCATCGTATCCATGATTTGTTGAAAAATGGCAGGCGCGGTTTTCACTTTGAAAGGCAACCGATTGTGCTGGGAAATCCCAGTAGGCGTGCTGACAGTCAGTACCTTACTGCAATTTTCTGCCACTGAAACTTGTACGTACATATAAGATAAGTCAAATTGCACAAATCACTTATCACCGTGAAGCTTAGTGGCAGGGAATACTGATGACTCCCCAACATGGAATTTAAGCCGGTGGAAAAGTCAACTCAAATACATACCTTTCCGTTTATTTTCATCACCACAACGATAGATACTGCTTATTCTGAATAATGCATGCTTTTTATTATGCATTTTGACTCCAACCGACTGCTCAGCTTATACTATCGGTTGAGCTGCACACGGCACTGGACGTTTTGGCCTGAAAACTGCTTTTGCATCTGGTTTGTAATTTAGCTCCTTACTGGCTATTAGACAGTATTCGAGACCGTGTTTGAACGGTGTTTCGTAGCGACACTTCATTTTTGCAATTTGGTTGGGGGAACTCGTGCTTTATCATTGGCGTCTGTACAAGTTGCTTGACTTGCGATTGCTGTCATGTACTCTTGACTGACACATCGAGCAACTTCAACTCCTCCATCCAATCAAGTCCCAGCACATTCAACCCTGGCTGGTCCGTCACGAAACAGTTTGTATGAATGTGTTGACCACAGAAACTAACATAGTGCAATTGTCCAAGTAATCTCAAGGCTACTCCAGATGCATTTCGTGTTGTGGGGCCGTTGTGGACAAACGGCGGTCTCCCAAGCGTGCACTGTGTATCTCGATAGATCAGTGTGCTGTCTGACGCAGTATCAAGTTGCAACTTGACATCTTTTCCATTGATTCTCATCTTATTGTACTTGTGCCTGCTGACACTTTCAACTCTGTACGTTGCTGTCACAGTTCCGGTCCGATTGTGACGTCGGGAACTCATCGAAATTTGACACTTTCCTCTCCGTGATAGGTCGACTTGCCGGCCAACATGATTCTTTGTCGCTTTTTCTACCACGGCGGTTGCGAATGTGATTTCTCTACGGACGGTTTCGGGCAAAGTGTAATTCTTTGCAACATAACAAGCAGAAAGGGGTTTAGAATGTTTTAACTCACATTAATTGATTCGTTTTGTGGATTGCATCTGTCCGCACAAATGCGATCATGGCTATTGGAGCTGAACGACTGTGGAATCATAACAGCATCATGCATCAAGTTCGTAATTCTTTGACATTTGTCGTTCACTTTTGCAGTGCGACATCCGGATTCTGCTCACTTCTCCCCAGCACACTTGTCCAGACATCGGTATCTTTGGTTGCTTGAAGACCACAAACTTATACTGATCACCCATCATTTTGTGGAATTTCGATCGTTCACATTCAAGATTAACGCAACTTGAGCAGCTAACTCAGTTTTCATTGTCTTGCTTGGTCACAGTGAGGCATCTGTATCGTAGAATAGAGCAAACATTTTTATTTTCTGAAATATTAGCCAGATCAATGCGAAGCACTTCTTCGTATTCATGGTACCAGAAATCAGACGTACTACTAGCGTTAGCGACATATCGGAACTCATCGATAAGTGTTTTCGGTAAGGGACACTTTCACTTCCTGCTGACACCGAACCTGCTTGTTTTGACAATTTCTGAGTCAGTATCTCAATCATCCTGATCTGTGCTTTCTCAAAGTGTACTTACTGTTGGTTCAGATATGCTTGTAATCGTACAAAACCGACTGCTAGCTTTGGGTTCGTTGGGAAGTCTCCGTCGCCACTGTTGTGTTCTCATGCCTGCATTCCTACTGCTCATGCGTCTGCTCTGCCCGGCATCCAATCCAACCGCGAAGACCAAAAGTTAAGCCTCGGTAGACCGTGGGTATTCTATTAGAAGAGACTGTTCTATTTATTGGGCAACCATAAATTCTGCTGACAGGGACGACGATCCTCTCATCTTCGACTCCCTGGCCTCCACCAATGTGAACTCGTTCCGTGAGGCTGCTTTGCCATATTTGGCCATTTGTTGACGCCAAGACACAGCCCTCTTTCACTCACTTGACGCCCACGCGAGTTTGCCAGCCGCTCATATCTGAACTGTGTTCCCTATTTGGCCGGTTCTTCGTGCATCACGCGTGAAGACCGTTTCCACTCCCGGCGCGGCCTAGCGCTAAAACGCCATGTAGGGGCGTTCGTCCCGTTTGACCGCCTAATAACTCTCTCTGTCATTGTTGTGAACTGTCAGTGTGATAGCTCAAGTTCACACCCCGCCTTATCTCTGATGTGCAACCCTACATTATGGCTGGCGGCATCCGGTTTCGGATTTGCCTGTCACTGTGGCCAGACACAGGACGCCTGCGCCTACAGAGGGACCATGGATGGCTTGCGCTGCACCACCCACAGCTCCAACCACACACCCCATATCCAGTGTAAATCCGAAGGAATAAGACCGGGAGGCATGTGGATGGGAGCCACGTTTCATCAACGGAGCCGGCCCACACTCTTTCACAGGCAAACACAAGCACACTGTATTTGGGGAATCAAGCGCACACAAGGCGGTGGCTGGACCGTAGTCCGCTCCACACGGAGTGCATGGAACCACTCTTCGAGTCTAGCACGGCCACAAGGACCATGCACCCCGTCCCCTCCAGCAACGACCAACTGTCTCCTAGAGCCAGTATGGGCGAGGTAGTGGGTAATAGACAGGTAGGCACCTTGTCAACATGCACATCAAGCGCAGCCACACCGGGGATATCAAGCAACAGCCAATCACCTGGAACGACAAGATGAAATCAAACAAATCCGATAATGCATACAGATACGGTGGCATAACTCTTCGCTAAATTACCATATGAAGTAAGTTGGTTAGCAACAAAACCGCGATAAGGAAAAAATGTCCACAAGTTAGTTAAAAATGCTACAAAACGCAACAAAGTTACCGAAGATAAGCGCAATTAATGTAAACAACGTGGCCAGTTAATAGAAGAGTATTCAGGTAGGCAGAACAAACCAAATAAAGTGGAATGAAATTTAGCCAGCCTAAAAAGACCTAGTTTAAGTGTAAGTTGGTTTAGCCCAACTGCGGTGATGAAGCATCAAGAATGCAACATCAGCCTCAGTAGGGGATCCCTACATTATACATCCATCCCTTCACACCACCAAGCGCCGCACATCCCTTTATCTCAGTGAACGTTGTTTCCTGTTTCACCATGTTACAAGCGTCGTCCCTCTTTTATGTCGTAGGTTCATTTGTTGTTGTTCCAACTGCTCACACTGGTTTGTGCTCCTTTTTCTCTCTAGCTTGATTCGACGCGCCTCAAATTGAATCAACTTCTCATGTTGGACGATGTGATGGGTGAGCAACGGCATGTTGATTCGCGTTCCTTTGATGATTTACCGGATGTGGTGAAGGTTTGTCAGCTGTCTTCTTCATTTGGGCTATTGGCTACGAAACGTATACTTCACTTTACTCACTCATCAAACAGTGACGTTACGCATCGTTCATAGGAGATATTGATTTGTTTTATTGAATTAAATGAGGTTCTTCGAATTGAATTTGTTCGGATAGACAGCAGACATAAAAATATACTAGCCTCTACTTCCATCTTTTATTTGGCCCCTTGTTACTTTTTCACCGGGACTTATTGCAGAGGGATACTGTTATTTTTTCAACTGTCATAGCTCATACATCTCAGCTTGTCTCTTCTGCAAGAGAGGAAGGTGGTTTCCTAATGGAACGGACAATTTTCTGTTTTTCCTTAAGGACTATTTGCAGCTTCCAAATCTCTCCAGGTGGCAGTTTCGTCCCATCGGGACTCGCCAGTAGGATGCATCTCTCTCGACTTCATCCGCATTCAAATCCATGACTACTAGCACCTTACGCCAGCGGCTTGCACCGCTGGTGGTCATGGGTTCGAATCCTGATGGACCTGATGGATGCGCACTACTGACGATGCCCAACAGGCTGAACCTGCAGTCTAGCGTTTTTCCGGGCATGTGGACGACTATCAGATTTGGAAGCTGGCTTTGATGAACCTCAATTATCATAAACTGTAACTCTATTACATTCTTATTGCTCATATATCCCGCATTATACACTACTACCATTGTTGCCTTAATTAGAAGCTAAAACTGATAGTAGAAGTCGTCGGTTTACAGACCTACTTCGCGATTTGAAAGTTTATCACACAAATGGATTCGATCCTTAGTTTGTCGCCTATGCACGAACCTGTTCATGGCGATCACCTGTCCAAGGCGACAACTTTTTGTCGGTCCCTTGAGTGGTCGCCTTAGACAGGTTTGAGTGTCGTACCGCTTATACACACCGTGGGCGTCGATGTGCCACTTGGCGTCCTCCTGTAGCTGACCACCGGCGGACCCAACTAGATCACATTGCCATAAGTTACATGTGGTACAATGGTTCCATCCTGCATTATCGCTCGTTTTGCAGTACTGCGTCGACTTTGATCATGCCTTGGTATGCTCTCGTTTTTCCATCATTTTTACCTGGAGGCGTACCAAGTGCCTAACTCGATTGGCATCTGATAAATCATCCCAGCCTTTGTTCAAACCAGCCTACCAAGATGCTCTGTGTACCGAACTTTCGCACCCTTGTCCTAATGACACTGAGGTTTAATGGAATAGGATCTCAGCCAGCATTCACAAGATGGGTGTCTGTGCTTGTGCCACTATCAGTCGTCACTGCATCAGTCACTGGATCTCCGAGAAGTCTGTAAACTTGTTGGAATCCAGAAAGAAACTCCCCACTAGCTCTGAGAACAATGTGATCAGACGGAACATTAAGTGCGAACTAAAGCGGAGCTGCGTGCTGACATGAAAGTCTGGCTCAAGAAATGGTTGAAGCAGGAGCAGTAGACAATTCTCGCAAGCTCTTTCATCTGATCCGCACCACTGGTCTTTGGAAACCAGGTGTCAGTGCAACAACCAGAGACAGCGCGGGCGTACTAATTCACAATAAGGAGCGCCGTATGGTTCGTTGGGCGGAGCAATTTCGAACGCATTTTAGTTATCCCCCTGCTCCCGGACCTCTTCCTACCCAGGTGATGCAGGACGAGCCATGCCCAATTAGTTTAGAGCCTCCGTCGGAGGCCGAGGTCCGAAATGCGATCACAGCCCTTAATCGATTTCTTGTTGCTGTCCCGGATTCGCTCGCACCAGCATTATTTACGGATGCTGGTGTGGTCCCCTGCAAAGTATTGATCTCTCTGCTTGAACAGGCCTGGAAGTGCCTAAGTGAATCAATTATAGGGGCGATATGTAAGAAACGCAGTCGCACCGACTGTGCTAATCACAGGGGTATTAGCCTGATGCCAGTTGTGGCAATATTAATGGTCTGCATTCTCCTTCGTCGCTGCACTGCGGAACGGGAATCTCGGTTTAGGGAAGAGCAGGCAAGTTTCCGCCCAGAGCGTGGCTGTCTAGAGCATATATTCACTTTGCGGTAGGTGCTAGAGCAGCGCCACGCATACCGCAGACCGACAATAGCTGTGTTCCTCGATTTCAAGAGTGCGTTCGATTCAGTCGATCGATCCATTCTGTTCGAAATACTTGCGCGGAAAGGTGTTTCCATAAAATATGTGAACATTTTACATGGTCTCTACTCGAACCCCACAGGCCGCGTCAGAATCTACGGTGATTCATCGGATATATTTCCGACAACAAGTGGCGTTCGTCAGCGTTGCCCAATTACCACATTTTGTTCGATTTCGTCGTGGACTGCATGATGGTGTGTTCCCTTGCGGAATCTCACGATGCAGGTATCGAGGTGCTGCCTGGTGAGACGGTAGTTGATCTTGATTATGCGGGCTATCTTTCTTGCGTTTTAACGATGTCGGCGCGGCGCAATCAACCCTGAATAGCCTGTCTAGAGTGGTCCCATTATTTGCCTTTTGAAGTTCAAAATGTTGCTGCAAACCACCGGCCACTTGATTCCTGGACCGTTAGTTGCGGCGAACTCGAGATAGTTGATCACTTCATCTACCTTGTCAGCTGTATCAGCAACGATGGCGCGTAGCAACTGTAGTCGGTTTACGCATTGCAAAAGCCAGAACTCTCTTTTTGCATCTGCGGCATCTTTGGCGAGAGAAAGGCCATATTTACCAAGTCATGGTGAGGGCCATCCTACTCTATGTAAGCGAGACTTGGCCCCTCCGATCTGAGGACCTGCGGGGCATTGCTGTTGTCGGATGGCACCAGGCTATCCGCAACGATGGTGTGCTTAAGTGAGTACAAGGCAGTGATATCCAGGCTATTTTCTTCGAACAACAGACAACACTGAATAAATTGCGTTGTCTTAAGCACTTAGTGCGTAATCCTGGTTACCACTTACCTAAGAGAGCCTTGTTTTGTCTGCCAGATGTAGGGTGGCGCAATGCTCGAGGTGGACTTAAGTTAGCAGCTGAAAATGAGGTCGCTGACGACCCAGTTCGGTGCCTTTTGGCCTCCTAGGTTGGGGTCCACGTCACGTTTTGTGCTTGGCTTGAGACGTTACAGGACATGGCTCGCAGTAGACACCAGTGGCGTGTCTGCTGTCGTCTCCTAGTCGGATTGCCTGTTTAAAGTGTGTTGGGTGCTGAGTTATCTGCAGCGTAATAGCTGATTATGTCGCGTGGCAATGAAAACCGCAAAGATGCTGTCTCCCCGATGCCACCTATGCACGATAGCCATGTATTTGGTGTATGGCGTGTTTTTCACACAAGGTGCAGGCGCCTGGACCCCGAGTGCTTGTTTAGAACATTGAGGTTTTACCATACGTCCCTCTTCTCTCCCTCTTATTGTTCCGTAAGTCACTATGGTTTTATGGTAGCGAAGCATCAGTTCAACTGGCTGATGTACTGTTGTTATTGTTGGTGGTGATGATGACGCGTTGCTATCGTTTACACTGCCGCGTCTTGTTAATGCGCTGCTTCAACCGCGCATGATTTCACTCCGTTGAACAAAAATCCTGCCATTCTTTGTTCTTAGTTGTTTTTACCCCAAACTTATCATTTTTGTACTGTGACTTGACACTTCAGGTAGCATGTAGGCCGATGATTAATTTTCGTTATCCCTTAATCCCTTTGGCGACGATAAACAGTTATACTCGCCTTCCTTTCTGTTTCACGGCTGATAGAATCTCATAGGGCGGGTGCGATGAGCACAACTAGAATTCATGGTTTTGTCCACCGACCCGCTTTTATCTGTAATGGGTGTGATACCCATTGGTTAGCGCTGGACAATATATCTTAGACTGTCAGTATTTTCCGTTCCCATCTTTGGTGTTCGACTTGCGATTTTTTTGTTACAACTGCTGTGTCATACACTCACTAGCGTCCGGTATCGGTTGACATACCTTGTGGCCATCTGGTCAGCCCTATCAACAATAATGAATTAGTAACATTGGAACTGTCTTCGGAACCCATATGACCATTATGAGTGAGGTTCGCTAAGATAGGACAGTTGTGAGACTTCACTTCACCTTTGTGAAACCAGATCGAGTATTTACCCCAGTATGCCCCCCTTAAGATAGACACCTCGTGGTTCGAACCACATATCTACATGCCTTAATTCAACAACGTAGGCGGCATACCTATTCCAATACTCTACTCATTGTTGTCTCACGCACAGTTCTGCTCTGGTTTCCACTTTACTGCACGATGCCCAGGGCTAGTGAAGCGCTACCTGCGTGCATTGTTTTAACTTCTTAATCCCATTCGTCTTCACAACCTTTTCTTCCTATCGTTGTTTTTGGCCCTGCTTCACGTCATGGAACTGGAAATTGGACCTGAGTGCCCACTTCAGCCCTCACCAGTACTGCGTCCGTGTCACTCACCTGCCTCTTCCGTGGATGAAACCTCTGGCGCTCAGTGGCGTAGTTGTCGGGCTCAATCTTTTGCTTTATTCTGGCACTGTCTTGTGTTAGAATTAATCTGTTCACTAAGCAGTGGGTGGTTTTTGACTATTCTGTTGACACCTTAGTATTTTTCTCCAATGCCGCAAACTCAGTCTCGTTCCACCGTTCTAAGCATCCCTTTGAATAGTACGTCTTAATGCTTTTTACCATTGACTGGCACTTTCAAGTCATATTTAACGTACCTTTTTCCTCACCAGCGTGGATTAAAACGCTTCAATTTGAGCAGCCGTATTGAACTCCAGAGGGAAATTGAGACCTGCAATTCTTCCATTGCTCGATTGAAGCATCAAATCGCATTAGTCAAGCCGAGCGGGACTTCTGTCAGCCCAACACAGTCCCAACTCAATACACTTCCCGAAAACATGTCTTCATCCAGTGCCTCCGCTATCCTACAATTAGTTGCAACAACCGGCACACTCAAGCCGATGAGTGAGCTCAATGATCGACAAAAGCGAGCGGCGGATTCACTGCTGTCACTCGCCTTGCCGGCTGCTGTCCAGGCACAAATGGTCGCAACTCCCGTTCCGGGGGACTCCAAACTAAGCGATGCCAAGCTCAGACAGGTTGGTCTTACGCGAAGGCCCCCTGAATCTGATTACCACTCATATTTTCTAATCAAATCGGCCGTTCGTTTTCGTTGTCGGTGCAGTTATTTGCATCATTTGGGGCCAAAATATTCGACTTTTACTTTTCAACTGTTTGTTATTTTGTACCCTTGGTCTTTGCCGTTTAATTCTGCGTATATGTATCCCTCTCGTCAACATGTAGTTATACGGTATCGTATGATTGCCTCCTAATCCTATCAGGTATTGTGTCGTTGATGATTTAATCTGTTTTAGGAACTCGGTACTTGAAAGAGCGTCACTGGGTGCGAAGTACCAATATGGCACATGTATACACTACTAACTTGTGCTCATTTAAAGTGTCTACCATTCGCACCACTATACCTTCACGTCAGTCTTTTTCGTCTCTTTTTAACACCCCATTCTACCCATTAAGCTTAGTTACCTGGCCATTTTAATGGGACCCAAACTAAGTTGAACATGGTTGCTACTGACAGCGATGAGTGTTTAGTGATGCATTCCACTGGAAGTCGCACACCATAATTGGCCATCTTTTGGCGAAGTCGTTCATCACTATGGTCACTGTACGTTTGTCACCATCAGTTCCGTACTTTTGGAAGAAGGATACAAAGTTTGAGCAATGAATACCGCTCTCTCGGGCCACATGAACGCCTGCTATTTCTCCTATGTTGTTGTATGAATGCAGCCTGCTTACTTACTGCCATCTGACATCTCTCACTGTTACCCAAACTTTGAGGCTATTTGTAGACAGAGACTGCTCTGTGGCATTTGTCAAAGCTCGTTCTGCATGAAAGCAACCGTCTGAAGTCTTAAAATGATTTTCTTTTTGGACAACTTTCGCCGGCTAAAACTCTAATTTTGCACAATTCTTTATTTCCTATTTATTTCATTTACCCATGAAGACGAACAGCACACATTTTCAATCATTGTGTCTGTTTAGCAGACTTTTCCATCTTTTTTCATTTACAGCGGCTGCATTTGGCTCAGGAGCTTGAATCTGGTCGTGGGAGCGACTTTCTAGTATGTCTCTTTCATTGTTTCTCTGTTATTGATTAAATTTAAGTGGATACTTTGTTTTGTTCTAGTTCATTCGGGTCTCCTAGTTTCACGTCGTTTTACTTTTCGCCAGCGACTGGCAATACATCCCTTTCCTCGATGGCTTTACCTTTCCATTTGACCACTTGGCACTTGCTCATGCATCTTCTGGTTGTCCGTCAGTCACTTCTACTGCGCACTACATAGCGATGCGGTTCCGGATCGTAAGAATGAGCAATTTGTCGTAACATTTAAAAGCGACTAGCTTTTACCTCAGTTTTCTTTGTGCAATATTCACCGCTTACAACCCACTCATTTGCAGCGGTGCTTTTTTCGTTGCAACCTTGTTGCCTACTTCTCTGACTGCTCATGAGGCTACGCAATCAACATCTGGTCTGCTGGATGGGCTGCTACTTACTTGCACAAGCCGAGATAAGTGCACCTTGTTCTGGTAACCGGGTCGAGCCATGGTCCTGTGGATCATGTTGTCATCTCGATGTCCGCTAACTAACATACAAGCCTCGCTATGATTATTTTTCATTATTTTAACGCTACGTGCGGTCCTATGAATGCACTTGGTTTTTCCCCATAAAATCATTTTCCGTTCCTGCGTGACTGCACTCTAGTAGGTGAGATAAGATGGAACTGTTGCTGGACCTCGCTTCGCCTTTGTAAAACCACTTTGGGATGTGTTCGCGAATCCTATGATATAGGCGTCTCGTGGTACGACCCACGTATCGTGCCCCACAGGAGCACGAGTAAAGATAAACAAGCATTGATCGAGTCACCAGAGGCAGCCTGTCTTTCAAAGGTTTTGCGAATAAAGGCTTGTTGTAAAATACTATGCGTAGGCGAGCCGCGAAGTAGGTCTTTTCAACAGCGTCTCTCAGGCGTTTGGACAGGGCATCAGCCGCACTGTCGCCTTTGAAAGGAATATGCACAATTAGTTCTTTTTTGGGTACGTTCATCCTCGGTGGTTTTATCTTGCGTTCTTTCAAATGTTTGAGGATGAATTTATCTGGATACCCATTCTCTCTTAGCGCGTCGCCGATTCTCTGAAATTCTTTCGTGATTGTGTCCGGGGTTCAAATTGTATGTGCTCGGAACGCAAGAGTGCGGACTAGGTTTCGTTTGTACTGTATGGGTACCGCACTATAGAAGTGTACAGTTTAGCTGCGTATTCACTTTTCTCGTTGAATTGTTATTTATTTACGCTGAGGCGGGTGGGTCCTGCATCGTCTACATTTATTCTGGTGATCTTATATCCCTTAGTTTGTTAACGTCTTTCATTGTCACCGTTTCGTGATGCATCATCCATTTTTACTTGCATTTCGCAGAGCTGGCTGGTATCAATTCGGCATAGGCGCCAGAAAGTGGCCAAGAGACGCACTTTTCGTCAAAGTCGTGTCGACTTAGCTACAGAAATTGGTCTCCACTCCATCCCAGCCGCTCAAGAGACCCCATCATCCTCTGTAGCATCAAGGCAGCCTAAAGGTGGTTTCTCCACGGGAGTCGGGGCTGCAGCATTTAGTGGCCTCACCAAGGACGATGGTGCTTCTTTAAAATCACAGGAGACTTCTCGGTTAGTTTTGTTCACCTGTTATTACTCACCGTCTCATCATCATCAACTCCTTTTGAACTCCATCACAACGTGGTCTTCCTACATTGGTGTTTAACACTTTCCATACATTGCTATTCAGGCTCTTGTGGTCACCCATAATGGTTACCTATCGCACAAACTAGCGTTGGGCATACATGATCTACTGTTCGTTTTTCTGACTACATTTTCCGTATCGACGTATGGTGGGCAGTCGGCGTCGGTCCACACACGGTGTGTCTTTTTGACATTCTCTCAATTCCCATACTTCACCTTAAGGCTGCACACTTCAAGTTTGACTCTCAAGTTAAACAGTAACTGTCCCGACGTTGAAATGCCACGGATCCAGTTGCTTCGACCCGCTTTGCTTTTCAAATCAACACGAGCTCTACTGATGCGTGCAGCTGTATCCTCAACGTTTTGACCACCACAGGTAGTACAATTCCCTATTTGCGTTAGCAGATCTACGACTTGCAGTGACTCTTCGATGTTGGCTAGAACTGGTGACCTATCGGTCTGGTCCCGCAATCTCATGATGCAAAGGAGACGCTGAATAGAACAGCGCTCTACGTTTATACCTATATTAAGACCAACACAGAGAGAAGTATTTCGTTTGCGTGCTCCAGCTTTACTGGTCACTCATCCGACACACTTCCCTTTCCCGATGTGATAGTCATTTATAGTTATTCTGATCACACTGTTATGAAGCGGATATTCGGCGAACCTAAAGCTCCAAAGAATGCAGCTATTTGTTCAACCATCCTGTACAGTTGTGAAACCTGGTTCTCCAAGTCAACAGACGTAAAGAAGCAGCTCTTGCAACTTAGCTCATGTCTAGTGAGAACACCGCGTAAGCAACGGGCTTGTTAGGCGTTGCGTATTTCTTGCAGAAAACCGAGTGAACTTCTCACCACCGTTATATCACCCATCAGGCTCCGATGCCTGGGCCACGCGTTGCGCATGCTAGCATACCGAATCCCGCATCGTACGCTATTTGCTCGCCGGGGTGTGGATGGAAGAAGAGTCGGTGTGGCCAAGCGGCTTGATCTAAAGGAATGGTGTCCCTCACTTCTAATTTGACGTCGCTTGATGTTTCCCGACTCCCGTGCTGGGGTCCGAAGGACGGCGAACACGCTTGCTTGGATACACTAGCTGACGTAGCGAGGAGCCGACCCCAATGACGTTTGTGTCTTGAGTCTCTTTATCCATCCCCTACCCTCCAACAGCGATCTCAACCCAATGCATAATGTGGTTTTAGCTTTTTTAGTCTGTAATGTTTAATCTCATCTTTTTCTATTGCAGCACATTGGCTGAGGTGTAATTCTCACCCTCAGCCTACACGTACTGATGATAATGAAAGCTTGACTAATGAAGCTGGACTTTTTTACCTCGAGAATCCAGGTAGAACATTTTCCGCACAGAAAGTGGTTTCCTCTCTGACTATGGACAACAACATAATCTACCACACTGAAGGAATTCTTAGGTGACCTTGAAGCCACTTAAATCCCTCTGGTTAACTACCTGTATCTTTGTCACTGTTTCACTCCTTGATGAAATTTATTTATGTGTTTATTACAAACTGCCGAACCGAAGGCCAGCTCAACCCTCACTTATTCCACTCTGGAGTGTCAATTGTGAGCAGTTAGGAGACATTAGTTATGAAGCCAACACTTCGGGGATTTTCACGCAATTTTCTGTGTCTCTATTTTTAATGATTGTTACAACGACTAAATCACCATCTTAAGATTCCTCTCCAGTACTGTTGATCAATGAACAATGATTTGTCACGGGATAAAAGAAAACGCTTGACACGTCCTTGCCACTCACCAACGTTTCCAGTCTATTCGAAGACTCTTTGTCAGACGTCGTTTCCGGGAGTTACGCACAGCTGAAACTCACTAACTATCGGAATCTGTTTACGCGCTTCAATCAGACTGATCGATGATTCAGAGATCCATTCAAACATATGTCGTCTTAAGTTGGTGCACAGCATGCGTCAAAGGCATTCTTCATGGCACATATGATACGATCCCAGTCAACGTTCCGCTCACCAATCTCATTCATCATCGATAATTGGTCGATCGGTACGTTAAGATATTGTTGAATGACAGATTGCGAGTTCAAATAAGGCCAGGAGATCGGCACTTCTTTGAAGCGGGAAAAGTGAGCTACAGGCCTGCGTGCACTAGATAATGCTCGGAATCCCGGCACATGCTCTAAATTGACCGATAGTCTTGACAAATCCCGTATGCTACTTGGACTGAGTACGATGAAATCAAAATATATGTGGATCATCTACCGAGATGAATGCGTTGCTAAATAACGTCAGTGTAAAATAAAAATCGAGTGTAAGCATGCAGAAATACACGGGGTGCAGTGATCGTTGGTATACTTCCTGGTAAAAGTAAAATATGGTCGCTCAATTATCCGCCGTCTTCTTGGGTCCATGTGACACAAATCCTGTAGAAGGGCATGATTGGCGTAATCCAAAATGGCGTAATTTAGGTAACGAAGTGTTTGGAGCTAAGACCAACATCCAGACGTTTTTTGGAAATGTCCCAAGTAGGGGAGGATACAACTGAGTCTGGGAGTTCATTCCAGGGTTGGCAAACCCGAAGGGAAAAGTAATTCCGTCGACACTCTAGACGACTATATTGTTCCCTCAATTTCAACCTGTTACACCTGAACTGCGTGTTGTGGCCGGGTTCCAGCAAATGGCGGCATACATGTTTGGGGTTGGTACGCTAATATTGGATTTTCTTGCAGCGTTCGTTAGCGTCCACTGAAAACTCCCAACTACTTGTCTTTGGTAGTAAGAGTGATGGCGCACGCCCTTTACATTCTTTTCCGCTCTCCGTTGTGGTGCCTCTAACGCCCCTAGGTCGCGCTTCAACAAAGGTTGCCAAGCTTGGATAGCGTATTCAACCTGCGGGCGCACGTAGGAATTATGCATCGTTGGAAAGATTGATGAGTCAAATCTCCCGAATGCCCTTCGTAGCATGCCGACGTGCTGGTTGCCTCTTTTCGCAGCTACCTCGGCCTGTTTTGAACCGTTGAGGTCACTATGTACGAGCACACCACGATCATGTTCCTGGGAGCTGGTCTGAAATTCGTGTGCCTTGAGCAAATACGTGTAATCATGTCCATGGCGTAATTGTACAACGTGACATTTGTCTACGTTGAATGGTAGAGCGTTTTGAACTGTCCAGTTCGGCACCGTGTTAAGATCGCACTGGAGCCGTTCGTGGTCTTCCGGTCCTCTGATCCTTCGCCATATCTTGATATCATCAGCGAAAAATAGGAAATCGGAAGTAATTGATCTCGCCAAATCGTTAATGAGCACCAAGAATAGACGAGGCCCTATCATCGAGCCTTGTGGTACATCACACTCCACATCAATTGTATTGGACAGAGTTTTCCGGACTCGCACCTCCAACCGATGTTCGTGTAGCAAATTGTTAATCCAACTCAAGATTGCGTCGCTAGTGCCGTAGTTCCAAAGCTTGTGAAGGAGAATTCGATGGTCTAAGCGATCAAACGCTTTTGAGAACTCCAGATAGATGACATGGACTCCTGCTCCATCATCAGCTTCACTCCAGCTATTACGTGCAATTAATAGGTTAGTATTACATGAACTCTTTTGACGAAAGCCATGTTGCTCTGGGGCTATTAACTTGTGGCTTTCCAAATATTGCATCAGCGCGTCTGCGATGATTGATTCCATCACTTTGTATAGTACAGGTAGTGAGTTTATTGCACGGTAATTAGTAGGGTCAGTGCGACTACCTCCTTTATGGAGAGGAGTGATGACCCCTCGCTTCCATACTGGTGGAATATGGTCCTTTTCTAGACATCGCTGATAGAAAACAGCCAGGGGTTCCACTGGATCACTAGCTACCGCCTGCAAAACCTTCGGTCGGATGTTGTTGACTCCAGGAGAATTGTGGATACACAAGGATAATAACTTCTTCAACACAGCTTCGGCAGTGAAGTTGATGTATAAACCCGACGGTGGAGTAATAGAAACGAGGAGATGTTGAATGGAGCTGCCAGACTAGCCATCCTCAAATCATTCCCATTTTTCAACAAGAATGGGAGAAAGTAGTCGGGCTCAAGTGACATGTTTCGATACAGCATGTCGAGTTGGCGTCGAAGCACGTTCAGAGTAAGAATCGTGACACGTGGTTCAGACAATTGTAATGTCACGTAGGCTGTGTTGGACTGTTCTTCAAAATCTTCCACTTAACAGCTTGATCGGTATAGCTGAGTACCTTTTCACTCTTCGTCTGATCACCTTCCAAGGGCTATATTATATTCCGGTTCCGGATGAGTTTGTCGCTTATACCCATTCGGGTTTTTCCATCTGGTTTTTGTGGACATTCGAGACCCTATGTAGGTACGGAATCGCTTTGCGTGCATATATATGTATATATCTGTATGTGCCCCATGCTGAGGCTGATGTTGCATTCTTGATGCTTCTTCACCGCAGTTGGGCTAAACCAACTTACACTTAAACTAGGTCTTTTTAAGCTGGCTAAATTTCATTTCGCTTTATTTGGTTTGTTCTGCCTCCCTGAATAATGTTCTATTAACTGGCCACGTTGCTTACACTAATTGCGCTTATCTTCGGTAATTTTGTTGCGTTTGTAGCATTTTAAGTAACTTGTGGACATTTCTTACTTATCACGGATTTGTTGCTAACCAACTTACTTCATATGGTAATTTAGCGAAGAGTTATGCCACCGTATCTGTATGCATTATTGGATTTATTTAATTTCAGCTTGTCGTTTAAAGTGAATGGCTGTTGTCTGATACCCCTGATATGGTTGCGCTTGATGTGTATGTTGACAAGGTGTCTACCTGTCTATTACCCACCACCTCGTCCATACTGGCTCCAGGAGGCAGTTGGTCGTTGCTGGAGGGGACGGGGTGCACGGTTCTTGTGGCCGTGCTAGGCTCAAAGAGCGGTTCCATGCACTCAGTGTGGAGTGGACTACGGTCCAGCCACCGCCTTGTGTGCGGTTGATTTCCCAACTACAGCGTGCTTGTGTTTGCCTGTGAAGGAGTGTGGGCCGGCTCCGTTGATGAAACGTGGTTCCCATCCGCATGCCTTCCGGTCTTATTCCTTCGGGTTTACACTGGATATGGGGTGTGTGGTTGGAGCTATGGGTGGTGCAGCGCAAGCCATCCATGGTCCCTCTGCAGGCGCAGGCGTCCTGTGGCTTGCCACAGTGACAGGCAAATCCGAAACCGGATGCCGCCAACCATATATCTGTATATAATCCTTCCCTTTGTGGGCTCAGTTTCTCGGTACCACGAGAAATATACCTTATTATTATTATTTTATTTTTATTAAGTGTGCCACATCTCAGAAGATGTGCACATAAGAACAGGGTCTCAGTGTCTGAGTTTATAACTAACACTAGTGATACAGAGCCAGTGACCCGCCGCGTTTACAGTTTCTGAGTTACACTACGCGAACGCAATGTGATTGCTGTGCCAGGTTGTGCCCATGTGTACAGCCGAATGCGAATAATCCTATTACGGTTACTAAGCAGCATCCGAAGTTGATACCTGTACTATCTGTTTACGCTTCGTCAGACACGAATGACAATATACATAGAGACTTATAAAGTATTCTTGATCATCGTGGCCTGCAAAACATTGCTAGTGTCCTGTGGCATCAACGTGTCCGTAACGTTGATGTACGTAGGCGAGTACTAGGTAGTGATAATCATGCTAGCTCCCTAGAACAACAGATAGCACTGAATAAGTTGCCTTAGCTTGGGCACGTCTTCCGTATGCCTGGTCACCGCTTACCTAGACGGGCCTTGTTTAATTTGCTATGTGTAGTGTGGCGCAAGGCTCGTGGTGGACAGAAGTTGACTTGGCAGCGGGAAATGAAGTTACTGAGGCCCAAACTTGGTGCCGTTGGTCCGTCTCGTCTTCCGGGCTGCGATCCACGTGATTCGCCTTGTGCTTGGCTCAAGATTTTACAGGATATGGCTCGCAGTAGACACCAGTGGCACATCTGCTGCCGTCTCCTATTTGGATTGCTTGTTTAAAGTGTGTTTGGTGCTGTGTTATCTGCAGGGCCGTGGCTAGTTATGATGCGGGGCAGTGAAAGCCGCAAGGAAGCTGTCTCGCCGATGCCGCCTTATCTTTGCACGATAGCCAGCTGTTAGTGACGGTATGTTGTCTACACTCATACTATACTCATCTCAAATCGTGCACTGAAGTTCCATTTTGGCGTTTTTGTGACCTGAAGTCAAAGTTGCTGATTTCCAAGTCTGTGATTACTCTTGTGCCTGATTAGTACCGGCGGGCTTCGTCATCTCGCACCTAGTCAGGTTTTCTCCTGAAATGATTTTCTCTCGTCCGTTTACATAGTTCATGTGCGGAAGTTGTTTTGCTTAGCGTTATATTGCGATTTCAAATAGTCAGTGGAACTGCCCCTACCACGTTAAGTCTATACCGCCTTCATGGGCTGTAATCGACCAGCAATTTCTCCCGTATGTCTTCTGATTTCTGTGGGTCGTCGATCGATTGACGCTTCACTTCTTTGGCTTTACTTCGTGGCAGGCTTTGTAACTCCCCAAGCTAATTTTTGTGTATTCGTGTATCTGCAGTAACATGTCCACTGAAGGCGATGGTAGGGGATCTATGACTGAGCGGCGTCGCATTCAGCTGGAGAAGATTCGTGCGATGGCCGCTGAACTAAAACCTACTCGCGGCCGTGGTTCCAAAACCTCCGTCTGCAGGCCTACTCCCCGTTTGACTCGTGGCGGTTCTGCGACAGGTGTGGGTCGCACAGATCGTAGCCGTGGGTGCAGAGGACGCGGGAGGCAAGCCAAGGTGAGGGTCCTGGTTCTCTGCTCCTATTGCATTTGTGCGTAATACCTTCGAATTTTCAGGTTTATGGTTGCTTTTTAAGCCTCAGCCTTCTAGGCATCATACCATCAACTAGTTAGGTTTAATGAGAGCCTTTTCGGGGACGTTAGTGATCGTCACCGATACGAGCCTATTACGCATTGGCGTTTTCTCAAGAAAGGATACTCTGTCTCCCATTGGGTAGGCAATTGTCGCTTGTCGTGTGACGCCATCACTTGGTAAAACTACCAGATCTGTGTAGTCTTTCTGTTATTTTCGTATGTATAACTCAGTTAACGTCATTTAAACGACTGCCTCCACTTCATCAAGAGGCTAAAGATCCAATCACCGTCGCTCTGATGATAGAAATTATGAAATGAAGAGGATAAAAATATATATGATTTGGTGATATATAAGCAGAAAATCAATCAGGAAAAACAATGATCTTTAGATGACAAGCTCAGTATGTAGCTTCAATCTCTTTACCGCGAAAGTCCCGTCAGTCTAACGGCTGCATTCACTCTCAACTGGTCTTTATTTCACCCATCTTGTCCAGAAGTCTCTTCACAAAACCAGTGCGCACCGAGGAGATAATCTTTTCCATCACGTTCTTCCGATTTCCCATTATTTGGCCATCTTGGGATCCCACTATACCTTACCGGGGCAAGTGGTAGCTTTATTTGTCAAAGGAGTTGCATCACAAAGCTGTTCCCGTCGTGACCGTCATTGTTACGGGGATTCTCTCGCTGGCCCACACGTTCGCATCCGATTCCATTTACCCATTCCTTTATATACCTGTCACGTTTCGTGCTATTTATGTCTGATCTTCCCTAACACAAACTCAGTGCACTCACCTCTCCATGCTGTGCTCGCATCGCCATGATTCATACTTAGATTATCAGGTGGCTATGCCTTAAATACGAACGTGTGCAGTCATGTATTGCCTATGTAACTAAGTCTGCGTTGGCATTGTTCTGTGGATATCTAGTCTTAGAATTGAGAAAGTCCCTCCGACAGTTTTTTCTATGATAGACCGCATCATTCACAATTGTGCTGAAATTGAGGATAGTCTCTGAGCTAAGACGGGGTCAAGGCAACATATCTCAGCTGTATTATAAAACATTTGCACTAAAGCCCCAATACAGACATTTGCAGTTCTCGAGTCAACACGTCTACCCCTTCGTTTAAGATATCCAACCTTGGTGCTTGCTTGTAATGGTTTCACAGCTGGAAGAATTCTTTCCTGTCACCTTTCAGCCCTTGCCGTCTGTGCCAGCTTCGATGCCCAGAAAACGACTTGAATTTGACCAAGAAGAAGTTGATCACTTCGACGATGATCTCATCGACCCGTGGGCACCAGTTTTCAAAGAATTTGATGAGAACGATTCAAATTCTGCTACCCCTAGTCCATGGGACGCCGATCCCGACGATTCAAGCAATCATCCGCTTTCTCAACTTGAGGCGAAGAAGGTGCCTTGTTTAACTCCGTCGATGAATATTCCAGGCGATCCAAGTATGAACGGGGATACTGGCGACGAATCTGAGAACGAGCGTGATAATATTGCGGTTTTCGACGCATTACTAGCTCTATACGATCCGGAAGTTTCCAAGTAAGTTCCGTTATTGTTCGTCATTTGAGATTTCTTTGAGGTTGTTCACCGCTACTTTATGTTCGGTGCCTGTTAGTAGACACGTATTGCTCCGCTCTGCATTGATGACGTCACTTCGGCTAGTAACGAAACGTTTATAACGAAATTTCTAGACTCATTGAAGAATTCAATCGGCCCTCGTTGTCGTACCACGCTCGGTAGTTGACAACTTGCTGCCACCATAAGGTTGGATCTGTCAACCTCGGTCCTGTAAATGTGCAGTCATCCAGATGGATAGTGTGTGTTGCCCACTCCTAGAACACTGTGGGCGCGCAACACCCAATAGCCAGCTCCTTCATCACTTAGGGTCCCAGTGATCGAATTGACCCGGGCTCACTTGTCCTTCGCAATCCATTCACACGAGTGGTCCAATGAGCAGTCATCCATTTACGAATTTCACATCACACGTCCATTTTACTATTAGTCGTCTATGAGCAGTGCGAATGGTGGCGCATTTCCCGGCGTTCTTGGGACACTCAATCTGCTCCCAGTGTATTTTACTATATGCATAGAAGTTACCTATGATGCGCATAACGGAAGCGCAATCAATCCATCCCTAACCCCCCATCTGTTACCGCGGCCGCGAGCACCACAGGATGTCACGCCCACGGAAGTCCCTTGTTGGCATACTTATCCCCACATATTAGAATTGTTCGAGGTGTAGGCCTTGTAGTCAAGTGATCAGGCGCCTCAATTAGCATGTCACCCGCATTCCAGCAACAACCGTGTCCTCCTTGTCTGTCGGATTAGCAACACCCCAGGCCCGCGACGGTGCGTAGAGGCTGCACAGGCAGTATGCATCACGAGTGAGTACGCACTGTCTTTTTGGGTATATGACATTGTGCTAGAGCGCTGCCACTCGGTCATTAAGCCATGCAAAATCGTGAGAAGCACGCTGCCAGACATGTAACCTTTGCCGACTTCCTCATGGTGGTTCGTGCCTTAATGATCTTTTGAGTTGTGTTTGATGATGCCTTTTACTTATCCATAGCCACTTAAAGGAGATTGACCGATGATTAGAGGCCAGGGGGAGTCAGTCTCCTTGTTCTCCAGCTTGCGCGTAGGAATGAAGGTGGCTCCTTATACCTTAGAACGGGCTCTCTATTGCCCACTGCCAGAACAACAACATTGTAATCAGGTTTTGGAACTAAAAGCTTTGGTTGAGAACTGTAATTGTTCTCTTCTCTAGGCCTGAGTAGTCTGACAGTATCTTGTCCACGCCATACGGTGAACTCTTCGAACAATTTTTGCTCTTCTGTCTATCGCCCTAACTGCTGTATAAGGCGGCGTGAATTGGGATGATGATGTAACTGCTAAAACCTTACCATCTCCTACGGATATTCGTCCTTAGTTAAGCTTGGTGGTCCATGTCTTCGAAATTTAGCTCACACCTGATGTGAATACTGTTTGAGCGATGAGCATGTTCGGTGTCTTGTTTATAGCGCAGGAGGAGGACGGGAACCGCTCTGCACCGTTATTTAACGTACGATGCTCCGCTGGCCTGTCACTGACTACGTGTGTCAGCACACCTCGCAACGTTCATTGTTTCCGCTACCAGGATGTGATTGAAAGTGAAGGAAATTAGGCCAACCGATGATGTGATCAAGAAGAATGAAGACTTCGAAGTTGTCTTCCCTGGGGACTCGACTCCTTATCTGGGACCCGGATGACGATAAACACATTTGGTTAGATACATTTGTTGACATGTTAAAGAGCTTATCTCGGTGGCATTTGTGTTACGAGTTCCTTTATACCGCTCCAACCAAGGTCTCATAGTCATCGCATGACATAAAGCACGGGTTGACAATATTCTGTGTTGCCTTCGTTGTTTTTTTTCACTTCCACCTAATTGATTTTTATTGCTGGGGTGTTTCTCACCCATAGGTAGTGTGGAAAATGTCTGGTGATTTGTGAGCCCAGTACTGGCATTGGACGGCGCGCTCCTATCAGCCTTTTGGGCTGGTAGACACTCCATCAGCATTTACGTCGAATATTCTTGAAGCACACATCACAACTGAACTACTTTACTGTCCAAACCAAAACAAATTCTGCCGTAGACTCAAAACTTGTGTCGTTTGCACGTTTTCCTCCTTGAATCAATTTTATCAGTGATGACATCTTCTCAAGAACACTTCATCAATTGTAGCTTGTATTTGTCGTTCAGAATGATGCAGACATTTGGAGAGCTCTATTTTCGTTCACCGCGCTAGTTAGCTTTTCATCAGGCCTACTGTTAGTGCGTTGTTCTGTAACCCTCCATGATAGCTGAATTCGATTATTCTGGTTTTGCTGCGATTTAATTCTTAATCCACTTTTTACTTAGGTACTTGGGAACGGCTAATCTGCACATTTCTGTGAGGGAATTTTACCAGATCCACGTCGATACCGAGCTGCTTCGGTAAGCACAATTGCGTTTCACTGATTTCGCATGATTTTGCGCTGCGCGCCAACAATTACCTGCCCGTTTTTATTATTTCCGTACTTCAGTGTCCGATCAGCCTACACTCACCAACCTCCAAACAACCACCCGCATAGTTCACATTCCGTCATTTCAGTCTCTTTACAGTGATGATCTATGAGGGGACGAAAAATTCGCTTCTTATCTACGCTTGGTTTCTAGCCCACGCTGTGTTGGAGATTACTATGTTGCTGTTCAATGTTTGGCGTTCTTTCTATGTACCTATTTTGCATTTGTTCTGCAGTGCATCGGAGGTGGTTTTCCGTCCGACCTTCATTGGCAGTTCCGAAGCAGGAATAGGCGAAACTTTCGAATTTGTTCTGCGTGATACAGCCAACCTTCTGGACAGGGAGTCAGCAGGGATTTCTGATGCACTGTGGCCACGTCGCGTTTTTCTAACCGGAGGTCTTGCTTCGTTACCATGCCTTGCAAAGCGTGTCTTCTTGGAGCTTCGACCTCTGCTACCGTTTGGTACAGAGTACGACAATTTGGAGATCATCGTTGCAGGTGAGTGAAATCAGACCATATTTCTCCAAGCGTTGTACGGCGCTGATATCATGTGGACACACTTCAACTGCACATAACTGGCATTTTTTCAATCCATAGCTATGTCAAATGTTGCGAATTACAAACAAACAGCTGCTGTTTAACGGTATTGTATGAAAATAAATTCACTATGGCTTTCTCCATTACTTTGGGTGTGAATTGAATGCGATCAGCTAGCGCACAATTGTGTGCCGAGTCAACAAGACCTCTTTTGGGCTGTAACACCCCCTTCAATCTGTTGGACAATGACGTGTGTCCAGGTCGCTGAACTCGATGAGTTCTCCGTATTTGGGAACTACCCTAAATTTTTCGCGCCGTGCTGCTATTATGCTGCCTACCACTGACTGTATGACACAACGACTGTCCAATTGGACCACTAGTCTGGAGCGCCTTAATTCAACTTCTGATTTCAGTGACTCGGATACAGCGTGGTATCACTCGCCGATATGCAACATGTAGGATAGACTATATTTGCCACTATCCTTTATATCTGTTGGTGAGTTGCAATCCGAATGCCAAATTGCGATGAATCAATGTCACTACGTTAATAACAATGTGATCGCGTAGACAAGTAAAGGAAGCAACGAAAAAGATACTTGAACGGTCCATTGTAGGTGATCAGCTAAGAACAACGCATCATATTGGACAGGAAATCTGACTACAAACACTGGGGATCCTCAGGTCTTTGTATCCCTTGAATGATGATATTAGTTTGACTCGATGTTTCGGTCCGTTAATTTATGTCACTCGTCATATTTTTCACTTAAGCCAATCTAGGACTCCTCACTTCATTTTTTGACGGGTTGCAGACGGCACCTCCGTCCTGTCAACTCCATCGTGAGATAACTATCCAGCATGGGTCCACCTAGTCGAATTCTTCAGCGCTCAAACGTCGTTTTTATGCTTTCTTCCGACATCGTGATCAGCACTTTTGTTCGATTTCACACTCCGTTTTTTTGTTGTGCACTGTTCAACTATCGGTGTATTTCTCACTCTCGTCACAGTTAATGCCGTTTGTACAGTTTGTTATGATCTGGGCAGCTGTATGCCATAACCTGCGCAGCCTCTGTAATACTGTGCACCAAAAACCGAGGTAAATGAAGCGTTATTAGAACACATGCATACAAAATTGAAACAAGCAAATAACGGAAAATGTGTCTGATCGATCATGAAAAATTTAGAAGCTTGAGTTTTAGTCTAACAAGAGATCGCCATTAACTTCGCGACTGAGCCGTATCGAGTTGGATCTATCACCAGTTCTCCGGCCGATCTGAGGTGACCTCGTGCGCCAATTTGGCTTAGTTTGGTTTTGTCGATTTCTTCGTGGTTTTCGCCATATGGATGACTACGAGGTTACACCCGACCAGACGCATTAGTAGCAGACAGTACACGCTGAAGTGGACATCCTTCAGATGTTAGATGAATGCGACATTCTAGCATATTCCACGAATATGCCATGGGGTTTGTCGTTGAATCCCAGCTGGCAATCACCATTAGTGCGCACCCGGTGTCCTACCAAATACGAATATCTGTTCACATGCTACAGTGTTCGTAAACGACCAGCTTTAGGGCTGTCAGTTTGCGATTCCTCTCTCTGTGGGTTGTACAGTGAGTAACCCTAATGTCATATGTATATAAAACCTACCCTCTCCGCAGGCCTGCCGCGACACTGCTGCTTGCCGATTCACCTGAGCTGACGTGTCATGTAGATGGCACTTTTGAAGAGATTCGACATGAGCCAGCCTTGTTAAAACGAAACAAGGCTCTGGGACCCGACGAACATTTTCCATCTTTGCTGAAACGTGACTGGACATGCTTCTCTTTTTAACACGATCTGGGACAATAAAAAAGTGCCTTCAGACTAGCGACTATCAACTGCCGTGCCCATTTTCAAGAGGGCTCAGCATACTTTGTTTCCGTTGCCACTAAACTTCTCAGGTGTCATTCTTCTATGACCTACTATTTCACGTGAGGACCAAATCACTGAAAGCCTTGGTTGCATCAACCACATTTTCGCCAAGTGTTAAGGACACACATACAGACGACCGATTATGGGGGTTTTATCCATTTGGGAGCCGTTTTCGACTCTGTCGACCGCGCCAGCTTGTGGCACTACTTATCCGTGAAGGGCTTGCCAACTAAACGCCTTTTCATTCTGAAGTCCCTCTAGCGTGATTCCCTAGACCGTGTAAGCGTCTACGGGAATCTGTTTCCAGAGTTACCCACGACACTTAGAGTTCAACAGTTGTTCTGTATCTCCTTTCTTCTTCGACTTTGTTATTGAAATGATCATGAATGACTCGGTTCTTTCAGACTGCCGGATTAAAAGTGCTGCCAGGCGACCGACTGACAAATTTGGAGTATGCGGATGACATACTTCTCCTTGGGTCTGATACTTTGGCTATGCAAATACTACTGCACGGACTTGTGGCTAGCGCCGCACCTTTCGGCTTGCATCTGCGATTAGACCGGTGTTAATGTATAGATCAGAGACCTGGCCTGTTCACAGTGAAGACATTAAACGCTTGCCATGTTTGTTCACCGGTGCTTGCGAAGTACTACTCACGTCTGGTGAGAACACCGCGTGAGAAATGCTGAGGTCCGCCAGTTGCTTCTTGACAAGAAACCTGGTGCCTCTCTCGAGTGTTTGATAGATCTTAGTCCCTTGCGTTGGCTTGGCCTTGTCCTTCGCATGCGCGTGGATCGGCTTCCTCGGCGATTCCGCACCAAGTTGGGCGAAACTGCGAGGTGGCCAGTCCATGACATGGCATAGAAGCTTGAAGAAATTGACGAAGAGAGTTGATCAGACTGATGCGTGCTAGCTCCCTGGATGGGGGGCCTCGGGTCGGTGCACACCAATGGTTGGAGACCGTGTCAGAAATGCCACAGTCACGAAGTCAGTCGGGTTCCTGCATTCGGCTTCTTCCATTTGGTTATTAATTTTCGTTTCATCCTGATTAGTCTAACGCATTTCCTTCTTGCTTCCATTTGATCTACATTCTATTTGCACCCAACCCTACTATCTTACCAGTGTTGTTTATTGTTATTCTTGCGATGTGAGTCGTGTCAGCTGGATCCACCGCACTTTGGTGCTCAGATCATAGCTGTTCAACTGAACGGAACTGAACCCTCCGCGCGACCCTAGTAATGTTTATTTGTCAAACCTTGCAAGGTTATCTCTGCTTCTGTATCCGTGTATCCCACTCGTGCCCAACTACTATCCACCCCCTTGAGTTTAACTGTTTTCCCCGTCCAACAGACAATCCACGATTGGATGCCTGGCACGGGGCCCGCCGTTGGGCGTTGAACAAGGACATCGGCAATATTTATATATCACGTAAAATGTACGATGAGTATGGCGCTGATCGCTTTGTTCACCATGCTTTGAGCAACCAGTATTAAAGTACTCTGAACTATACAACATTTTGTGTATATATGTGAATAGAACTTTGCTTTCACATGTAACTGTTCTCGTCGACCATTTTGTTGGCATTAAACAAAGTAGCTAGCCAGTGGAAAGGCTTGAGTTTGGCTAAACGTCCCTCAACATCGTTGATTTATTTGTGGCGCTCTGTATGTGAATAGGCTGTGCGCGTATTTTAAATATGGGTTGCTAATCGCCTTGTAGTATAGCTCATTCACTGGAGCCGCACTAGAAATAATTATGTGTTTATCGTCCGAAAGTCCGCACTTCACGTCCGGTTTTGCACGTGTTTGTAATCTCCAGCTATAGATGGTCGAACCAGCAGTTCGGCTGACTGTGAAGGACTATCGCATAATTTTTGTTCTATGACGCTTCGTCGATATGCGACACCAAACTTCGTCTCAAACTTAGGTGCCCATACTCATTCGACTGGGTCTAACGAGGGCTTTCCAGCGCTCTCATTCGTATGGAGATACACATCCTTTAATAATTCCCACTTTCGATGTTCTCAGTACTAAAACACACTCATAACTTCATTGCTTTCGTGATTGACATTGCTACTTTTGATCGAAACTCCAAACCACTCGGAGAGCTCTCTAATCAGCCCTCATCCGTCTCAGTAGGTTACTGTACAAACAGATATAAGGAACTTTCATTCTGTCTATATGGTTGCTGCCACCTTTTTGCAATCCACCTGGAACCAACGTTACTTGAAACCCATCCACCGTGACCCGGTCGATAAACACGCGCTTACCACCCGTGACTCATTCTGCCGTCTACACCGGGCTGTGTGGCTGATTCCTGAACGGGACATGAGAACGGTAAGCTCTAAGTGTGTGCACCCCAAATATAATGATTCCGTTCTCTGTCGGCCGGTGGCCGAGTGGTCTGCACGCCTGGCTTGCAATCATAAAGTCATCGGTTCGAATCCGCTTAGGGGCGGGCGTCCTCGCAGTATACTCAATCCACGCGCAACTGATGGTCGTCGCGTGGCAGCGAAGCGCCATTACGGCACGCAGCTGACCCAGTGTTTACATAAATGGGAGTTTTCCTCTATCATTATTTTTGGAACTTCTAGTTCTCCATTGCACTCTGAATTAGACATTAAGTATATTTAATCGCTGCCTCTTGTTATAGCCTCAAACATTTTTCATGAACACTTCTTACATATAACCACTGACGGTATTCAGTTACTATGACTGCGAAAGAGCAAGCGCGATTGACAAGCGGAAAGTAGTGTAACCTGCATTTTGCAAATAACGCAAGTAAAAAGCAAAACACAGAAGGAATACAAGATGTTGTCTTTACAAGTGCAAGTCTAATTTCACAAGTGAATGGTGGAGTTAGATCGCTGGAACTGCCTATGTGTGACCATCACCGTCGGTTGGAGAGTCTGATCGACGTGCAATGCAACCTGTATGTAGCCGAGCTTTCATAGCCTGTTGCAATGCTTTAACCTGGTTTTATATGTCTATTTCCCTGGTGGGACTTATCGAAAAGAAATTTCTTCGCTGAATTGAATAATTAAAATTAAACACACGCTGATCTACACTGAACCTGTCAAAGACCATCCCGCTTCTTTAGATTAGGACAGCTTATCATGAAAACTGGATCCGGTCCAGATGAAAATAACGGAAACATATATCAACTGTATCGTGTCGAAGGCTCATGAGTAGACTAAAAAGATGCTGTCGTCTTCAATATTCTTGATAAATTTATTTCGGATAAAGTAAACTATAGTATTGAGCGTTTGAGATGTCTTTGGTCGGATGCAAATGAAAAAGAAAACATCGAATCAGTATTGGCCGACTGTTTTCTGGTGAAGAATCGGCACACAGTTTCATGCAGTGTCCGCTCGCTGTAACCCAGCATACTTAGTTTGAGGACATTGTGATTAAACCCACACGAGTATCTCTGCAAAGATCCCCTTTTGAGCTTCCACAACGTATGCCAAAAGCAGAGAAACATCCATCTCGACATTTCAGCTAGTAACAAGAGGAGCCAACTGGGTTTGTCGAACTAGGCTATGATAGCGTATATCTCGAAGTGACAGCCTGTTGCCTTCACTTCCGTCTACAGCACAACGCCCCAATCAAGACCAGTGAAAAAGTATTACCTATAATACCAACACTAGCGGTCTCACTGGATCGAACATGCTGTATGTTGGATCTGTTAAGACCTTAGCAAAGGCCTGACTACCAGGTCAATGGCGAGTCGTAAGGCTCAGGGCCTATTTTCAGGTGATCAACGAATAGTTGGTAACAAGATTCTACCACCCATCGATAACTCACTGTAATGGTGGATGCCTACGAGTAATCGCCATCTTCACGAACATTCAAAACATTCTGTGCTACTTGAAAGACGATTGAAACTAGGAAGAATTATCTTCTGGATGATCCCGCGTATCGCTTTCCACCATTCTTTAAAATAATCAAAACATTAACAGTAGGAACAATTGCACAACGCTGCCTCTTAACTCATCCCGTACTTACGTAGAAACTCAAACAGCTTCCTATAACCGCATCTGAGGAGAGGCGGGGATTGCTTCGCAACCATTCCCAACACTGTCACATCCGACAGAAGCCAACTATATGGTCCCACAGTTACAACATTTTGTCCAGATGACAACGTTGGCTCAATGACATACCACTAGCAATTTGCAATCAGCTTATCAATTCTTTCCTTGGCCCCAGGTCTGTCACAGCTTAGGAGGGATACATTGTCCGTACCCCAGAATTTATTAGCCGTAGGTATCAGCCGGTGGGAAAAAGAATTACGCGCTTGCCTCGTGATCCGGAGGACATCAGCTCGAATCCGGGTAAGTGCGGGAGACCTCCCGGTATACTCAGCCCGTGCGCCAAACAACAACAGCAGTACACTAGCCATTTGAACTGATGCTTCGCTGCCATACAAACATGATGACCTATGGAATAAAGAAGAATAAGAGGGAGAGAAGGGGTCTTTCCTGAAAACCTTATTGCCCTAAGCAAGCATTCAGGGTCGCGGCGCCTACACCTTGTGTTGACAACATACCGTCACAAACAGCTGGCTATCGTGCAAAGATAAGGCGGCATCGAGGAGACAGCATCCTTGCGGCTTTCACTATACCGCATCATAATCAGCCATTACCCCGCAGATAACTCAACACCAGACGCACGTTAAACAGTCAGTCCGACTAGGAGACGGCAGCAGACGCGCCACTGGTGTCGGTTGTGAGCCATGTCCTGTAAACTCTCGAGCCAAGCACAAGGCGAGTCACGTGGACTTCCAGCCCGGAAGACGAGAAGGACCAACGGCACCACGTTTGGTCGTCAGTGATTTCATTTCCCGCTGCCAAGTTAGACTCTGTTTACCACGAGAGTTGCGCCACCCTACACCTGTCAAACTAAACTAGGCCCTCAAGGTAAGCGGTGACCAGACATACGTAGCACGTGCCCGAGCTAACGCAATTTATTCAGTGCTATCTGTTGTTCTAGGGAGCTAGCATGATTATCACTATCTGGTACTCGCCTACGCACACCATTGTTGCGGACACGCTGGTGCCATCCGACACCAGCAATGTTTCGCAGACAACGATGATCAAAGACTGGAAGGCGCCTCAGATCTTCAGACCGAAGGGGTCGCCAAATTTCAATCCCATAGAGCATAACTGCCCTTACTATTGCCTTATATACACGGCCTTTCAGACGGAGGGAAACTCCCTTCTGTCGCCAAAGATGCCGTGGGTTCAAGAAGACAGCTATGGTCTTCGCAATGCGTGAACTGACTTCAGTTTCTATGCGCCCATTGTTGCTGATGGAGCTGCCAAGACAAGTGAATTGAGCAACCACCTCCAATTCTTCGTTAGCAAGGGCCAAGGGGTCATAGAGTGAATGGTGGACCTGCAGCAACACTGCACTCTGAAGGTGTGAGGTGCATACCAAATAATGGGACCACTCTAAACAGACTATTCAGGGTTCATTGTGCCGCCTCAACATCGTCGAAAACAAAATGATGTCGTCCGCATAATCAAGATCAACTAATATTTCACCAGGCAGCACTAACGCCTACATCGTGAGACCCGCAAGGGAACACTCCATGATCGAGTCCACAACGAAATTGAACAAAAATGGGGAAATCGGACAACCCTGACGAACGCCACTTGTGGTCGGAAAGCTATCCGACAGATCACCGTAGACCCTGACACGGCCTGTAGTGTTCGAGTATAGAGCACGTAGGATGTTCACATATTCCATGGGAATACATTTCCGCGCAAGTAATTCGAACAGAATCGATCGCACTCTTGAAATCGATGAACACACCTATTGTCGGTCTGCGGTGTGCATGGCGCTGCTCTAGCATCTGCCGCAAAAGTGAATATATGGTCTGTACAGCCACCTCCTGGGCGGAAACCGGCCTGCTCTTCCTTAATCCGAGTTTCCCGTTCCACAGTGTGGCGACGAACAAGAATCGAGGCCAGTAATTTTGTCTCAACTGGCTTTAGACTAGTACCACTGTGGTTAGAACAGTCTGTGAGACTGCCTTTCTTGTATATTGCCACTATAATCGATTCGCTGCAGTTAGTCGGGACACTCTCTTCCTTCCAGATACGTTCGAATATGGAGGTCAATGTTTTGCAGAGGACCTCACCTCCATCCTTAAATAGTGCAGTAGGAGGGAATCTGGGCAAGCGGCACGAAAACGATTAAAGGGCTGTGATCGCGTTTCGGACCTCGACCTCCGACGGAGGCTCTAAGCTAACCCTCCATGGTTCTTTTTGCATCACCTGAGTAGGAAAGAGGTCCGGGAACAGGGGACCAGCTGAACTGATATTGAGAGTGTTCCACCCAACGAGCCATACAACGCACTTTATTGTGTATCAGCGCACCCGCACTGTTTCACTGACGCTTGATTTCCTGGGACCAGTAGTACGAATCAGCTGGAAGAGCTTGCAGTAATTGCCTACTTCTCCTGCCTCCTCCATTTCCCGAGCCCTACT